CTGCCCTATTAATAAACTCTATAAACTAGTTTAAGAAGGAATTTAGAAAGATCTTTAAGATTAAGGATCTTAGAGAACTATCTAGAATCCTAGGAATAAATATTATAAGAAACAGGAAGCTTAGAACCCTAAAACTAGATTAAAGCTATTAYATTTAGGAAAGTCTTTAGAAACTAGGCATTAAGTTAAAATCCTTAAAGCTAACTCTCTTACTAATAGACAATTATAAGGGACTTATTAAGTTAGGCCTAAATAATAAGAGATATAGCAAGGAGGAATACTAGATAACAATTAGAATATAGATATAGCTAATAATTATAATAAGACTAGACATTACCTTTATAATTAGAAAGCTAAGTGCATTTTTAAGTAATCTATCTAAAGCCCACCTAAAAGCTTTAAAGAAAGTCTTAAGGTACCTAAGATTATTTCCTAACCTTAGATTAACCTTTATAAGATCTAGATCTAGATACTTAATTAGGTACTTAAACTTAGACTTTGCAATAGATAAGTTAGATAGAATCTCTATCCTAGGAAATGTGTTTAAGTTATATAATRCCCTAATTTTATAGATAAGTAAGAAGTAGAAATCTATAGTAACTTCTATAATAGAAGCTAAGTTTATAGTAATAAATACATATACAAAACAATTATAGTTCCTTTTAGCATTACTTAGAGAAATAGGTTAAACTAAGCTTATTAGATTATCTGCTTTTTAACTAAYAATTAAAGTAGGAAAGGACATAGCTAAATAGCTTAGGCTAGTTTAACTCTTTAGGGATAACTAAGCCTGCCTTACCCTTATAAAGGATATATATGTTTATAAAAGGTTAAAGCATATTAACATTATATATAACTTTATAAGAAGACTTTAATAGCAAAAGAAGATCTATATAGAATACCTTCTAATAAAAGAAATAGTTGTAGATAGCCTAACTAAACCTCTTACTAGTCTAAACTTCTAGATATATATAAATTATCTTAGCATATAATAAGCATTCTAAAATTTAGCAAAAGCATATAATTAAGGATGTCCGAACAGACATACTCGATTATATAATACTAAGTTAAGGAATTKCACTAAGATAGTAGCTAAGATAGAATTATACTACTAGGTTATAGAACTACCTTTCTACACTTAATAGAATCTTAAAAGATCTAGGGAAATATATATAGTCTATTCTATCCTAAGTAGGAGTGTTAGAAAGTGCAGTTATAGAATAGCTGTACATTTAATATAATAGAGAGCTAAGTAGCTATAAGGTTATATAACTCTATATAGGGTAAAATCTCTTCTTAGGAGATAGAGACACATCTCTAGATAATTAACTTAATTAACACATTAGTTCCTACTTTTAAGTACTKCCTATCGGAGACAGTAAGCTAGTTAAAGATTAAGATACTCTTTTACTCTACCCCTAAAATCTACGAACCTCCGAACAATATTTAAAAGACTAACCCTAATAGTTCCTAATATAAAGATGTTCGCTCTAGTAATCTCTACTTCCTTAGGTGTTATCTCGCTAATAAAGCTACTAAGTAGTACGAAAAGCTATAAGGTGGTCTTTTAGACAACGAGCCGGACTATCGTTAGGTCGTATATAGAAGACCTACGCTATCTAGCCGCTCGCGGGAATCGCGGGCGAATTATCTCGCCGCCTATATCCGTTTATTAGGAAAAGGCTACGGGTAGGATAGCTACGAAGCCGAATTCGTTACCGCAAGCCTACTAAAAAAACACCTTTTAAACGATCATAAGCTACTACTTCTCGATACTTAGCTACCTCGAGTAGAGTACTACTTTAAGTGCCGTATATATTACTACTCTAAGCTAGATTAGACCGAACATTACCGCGGCTACCTAGAAGCTCTCGATTACTTTTACGGGCAAGTTAGCTAAAGAGCCGTAGTTATCGTAGCCGCGCTATGCCTATTTTGTCTCGGAGACGACACGAAGCTACCCGCGAAGAGATATTACTAATTTCCGCGCTTTTCTAAACTTTATAAGTACATCCTAAAGCATCTTAAAAAGGTAAAACGTTAGCCTACCGCGTGTTCTTACCCTCTCTATAGTAAGAAGGTACTATCCCCCGCTAAGTTCTCGAAGTATACTAAAAACTACTATAGGATCGCTACTTATAGAACTAATCTACTAGACTTAATCCAAGTAACGGAATTAGTGTCCGATAACGACTATAGCGACGAGTCTATAAGAGGCGATTACCTAACTGTCTTAAAGATAGTAAGGAAGAGGGCGGCTACGCGAAAAAAAGCCCTAGTTCTATCTAGTAGTAACGAGGACAACTCTATTAAGACTACTAGGGATGCTAAGGATAGCGATAGCTATATATATAGCGACGAAAACGGCTACGAACTCGTCTCTAGAATATCGTCCTTCTATATACCTAGCCTCGAGCGTATAAACGAACTACGGTAGATAATAGTTACCGACGTGTTACTTAGTAACTTACTAGAATACGCGGCGAGCTCTTCGGATTACGATTCCGAAGCTAGACTTACCTTTACTTCTATAGATCTAGGGGTCGAAGAGAAGCTACTATATAGTAGTCCTATAATTCGAGGGAATCCCTACTAGGTATACGTAGACGTCGAGCGCCTCGTAGTAGAAGCGTCTCCCTACGGGAAATTTCCTCTAAGAAAATCGGGATAGCGACGAACGACCGTATTTTACCCTCGGCCTAGATATATTCGTAAATTCTATAAGCATACTAATCTTAACCGCTATATAAGGAAGGATTATATGTTATAGACGCTGCTTAGAGGCTATAAATCGACATAGTGCCGCTATAGCATATTTATACATTTTTATATATATTTAGACCTTCTTAATACCTAACGTCCCTCCTAACGGGTCGAAAAACCCCCTACGTAGAACAAATTTTATTGTCTAGGCAATTAAAATCTTTACTATATAATCCTTTAAATGCAAATTTTTAGATAATGTTCTTCGAACAATTCTACCTTTAGAACTTGTCTATTACGAACTAATTACGAAAGGCTAGGTCTTGTACTAATTAGTTATTCTAATAGCTATAGCTAAAGCTTAGTTAAACTTTTACCCTTACTTTATTACTACATCCGATATATAACTCGATTTTAAGATACTACGAGAAATTCCGCTTTATAAAGAAGACACCTCTTAGTTTTTAAGGTATATAGCGTTTAGATGCGTGTACTATGAATTTTCTTACGTAACGTTAGAGATAGGCCTTAGCGAAGACATTTTGAATTATTATACTATATAGTAATGTACGTTAAGGCGCAGTGTTATAAGCTGGCACTATGCTATAACAAGTTAATGCTGTGGCGCGTTCTTCTAAAGCTTCTAATTTACTACACCACCTCGTTAACATCGAACTCTGCTACTATGTAGTCTTTCAGAGATTTGCAGGCTAGTTCAGTCTTTTCCGCCGTTTGCAAGGTATCTTTCAATCGCGATATTTGAACCTCGTTAGAAAGACCTTCCAACGCAGATATGTGCCTTTCGCACTGCGCTACGCTACTTTGCACTTTTCCTATTGCAACTACTATGTAGTTAGCGAGGACGTACTGGTGATTGTGCTCTCTAGTATGGATTACAATACCTTCAAATGCGCTTAGACAGCGCTCTGCGTAAATGATGTCCGAGATAACACGAGTGCGGGTAAGCTCCTCCATTTTGGCATGCTGAACAATGCGTGATTCCTTCGCCGCACAAGCATCGCGTTCGTCGCCTGCCAGACATAATCAGTCAGACACAGCACTTTTCTAAGTTAGGATCGAGCCCTACCGCCGAGACCTCCCTCTGCGAAAGAAGTCGCAATGACATCGACATTTAAGCGACCAGGACAGAGAGCTGTCAGTTGGATCGCTACTGGGAGACGAAACTTTTCATGAAAAAGATTGCCGATCTCCAGTGCAATGTGTATCTGCTGCCTGAGAGAGGACCGGGCTGAAGCAGGATGCAGAGCCCTGCGAAGCTCAACCACTTTATCAGCCCATTTCCATTGTGGTCTGTCGTATGATGCTTGWAATTCGCCCCGCAGACGTAGTAGGCCTGCGCTAATCAAGTCTTGCACAGAGACGATGCTGCACTTTCCCTCGATTTTGAGTGCACCCTGGGACAGATATTCGCCAAAGTAATACTCCGACGCACGTAGATTTGCGAATCGGGCGAGTTCAGGGCTGTATCTTTGGAAGACCTGGATTGCGTCCAAATCACTAACAAAGGCTCTGTCGTGGAATTTCCTGGTATCGACAACGCAGATTWTCATGTCGCGGTAATCAGATCCGTCTCGCCTATCGGCACGTCTGTAGAAGACGTACAGAATCGTCACCAGCAACGAAGAAGTCCAGGACATGAGATTGTCCTCGGGTAGGTTTTGCCAATCAAGATGTCCCCAAATGTTCTTTGCGGTCACGTGCTTATCGGTGGTCTGAAAAATGTCCTGATGTGCTCCTGGTTTTGCGGTCGAAAAGTCCCTGGACTTGACCCATATCGCATTAGTGTCACCGTCAGAGTGCGGAGTATATAGGCGAAAGAGGTAGCGAGGCACGCCACTCAAGTGCACATGCTGGAATTGTTCGCTACTGCCAGGTTCGAACGGTAGCGAGTCGGGGGCCCTTAGATTCACCCCCCCAAGCTGATGCGTAAGAGCGTTCATTTCGGGTGTCTCTAAAAGCCACAAGGTAGCAGCAGAAAGCTTGACGCAGAATTATGAGGGAAAGTGCGAATCTGGAAAGCCCCCGACACACAGTATGAGACTTTGGGTGTCGAAAGGAGCAAACAATGTGGAAGCGTTCGAAAATCCTGTCCGTCCTCTCAGGCCGAGAAAACTTGATGTCTTATGTATTTTGACAGCAGTAGATTGTCATTGTGTCATTGTGCCTGGAACACCCTTGAAGGAATCCCTCAAACCTGCTTGAGACCTAGTCGACAATACCCAACAAGGTACAAGGCAAGACGATTGTACTTGACGAGCTTAGAACCTTCCAGAATCCTGAGATTATTGCAAGAGAGTGTGCGAATTCTGTTGATCGATCTTTCACTACGACAACAAAGTCATGTACTCGCACAGAAGCTTCCAGCAGACGCCAAACTAGCAGAACAGAGTACCGGCCCTCTCTCCACGCTTTCTCATCGCGACCATGCCCGATGCTCGAGGGAGGAACAGGGCGAGAGCCACTCGAGAGGACCTTGATCGGCTCCATGTCTTGCTTAGCTCAACGCCTCGCTGCATGCCGTGACTGGTCTAACCACGAGGCCCCGCATGATACCTTAGAGCGACCCCGCACTGAGATGGCCTTGCTGAGGAAGTGAGAGACAGGGCTAGCAATGCCCGAGCCTGCCATTACGCACGGGAGATGCGATGGGCGCCTAAAACTCATGGGCTAGGCCCAGAAGCAGAGCAAGACCGCCGTCCTGATCCTATCTCAACTCCAATCGAAGTGCCGTGTGTTATCAGTCTTGGAGTCTGCCTTGCACGGACCCACCTACAATCGCATGATTCGCGCGAGGCTGCATTATGGGCTTACGTGCGTAGCGGCACGTATCTACATGCGAGCGGCGCAGCTAGGAAGTCCCACTTAACAACTTCCAATTAAGTTAGTCACAGGCCCAGCTTTCAATCCGCCATACCCCCCAAGAAACGCGTCGTAACATCAATTCTCTTAACACCCGTCCCTAGAAACCCAAAGATGTGCACACAAGTCCCAGCGGCTCCACGCAGATTCAAATGCGGACACATCGTCAATATCCCCGAATCTGGCCGTCCAAACATTCTAGAATGCGAGACGGCTCAACTTAGCGGCACCCAGTGCCAACCACCGAACAAGGCTTCTCAGGCCTCCAGTCACGACAGGCAAAACAAATGCCCACCATGCAAGAGGGTTTGTTGATAGAGGCGCATTCTCCATGGTCTTGAGCTGACCTCTTTCAGGCGGAGAGTCAGACGATGAAGACCGGACGTTGATCCTAGGCGGAGCGAACACTAGGGCATGGTGATCGAGTGGCTCGTTAGAAGGCACTACAGCGTACTGCCGTATCTCGCATGCAAGATCTTGGATGCACGTGTATTTTCGAAGCCAGCACTTCCGTATGACCGGAGCGAAAGCAAGGCCGGCCAGGTCGGGCATCGTATCTGCGCTTGGCCACTCCGACTCATCGAAGCAATGGGTCGAAAAGTCTTGCCAGGTCAGAATCGAATAGATGACGGTGGAGAGGTAGAGTAGATCCAACAAAGCTGTTCCCCCATCTATATTAGCCTTTGTAATGTCCGCATCTCGCGAGACCAGCGAGCTGTTTGCAAAGTCGATAATGCGAAGATCAAATTCGTCCGTGAGCAGAAAGTTGCGCAGAGCGATGTCCAAGACCAAGACTCCTCTCTCATGGCATCGCGCAATAATATCTGTTGCTTGGAGAACCCATCGCCGTCTCCAAGACATTGGTGGCGGTCCGCGGCGAGTGATGAGTTCATGTAGCGATCCATTCGGGTAGTATCTCAGCCGTATCCCATTAGTCGTACACCCGAGACATTCGGCAACGCCGGGGACATGTTGCAGCCGCTTGTAAACTTCTTTCTCCGCTTCTAGGGACTCGCGGTAGAGGTCGTTATCGACGTGGGCTTCGATTTCACCGCTCGGCTGAAGGTGTCCAAGAAGATTAGGAATTTTCATGACGTGGTCTCCATAACGAATAACGAAACCATCGGCGCCGTTGCCAACCAGTTTCGCCGAGTCTACGCGGCTGCCATCGGCGAGGATAATGCAGGCCATGAGACCCAGGCAGAGATAATGTTGTGGGGCAGACGGTGAGAAGGGACGGCGATGCTCTTGCCAAGAACTAGAGCGCAAAGTGCCCGTTGAGGTCGACGACCTACATTGGATAGGCAAGGGAATTGAACAGGAGAGTTCTCGACTGCGAAGGAAAGCTGATTTGAGGGCAATTCCTGACATAATCCAAGGCCCGTCCCGTCCAGACTAGCCGGGGCTTTCCTTTCCTCCACGAAAAACAACAACATAGCGAGGAGCGTACTTTTTGGAATTCAGTCGTACAACAGTACATTGTACGTCCGCCCGTGGCCGCGACGGATCCTGCAGGTGATTGCGCGTCCCTCCGCGTCAATATACGCCAGCAGAGATGCCGTCGCGGTTGTAGTAGACGAAAGACCACCAAACACCAAGAGCATGTCACGAACAAAATGCGTCGTTTGAAATCGGCGGCAGCACCGGCGCCGTACACGATTCGGCAGCAACATGGGTAGGACGACTGAGCCCAGACACTCTACGATACCACAGCAGAAACATACAGTCACCGATGGGCCTCCCGCCGGCCCATTATCATCCCCTGACAATGTCTGCGACGTCCCGCATCGACGAGCCCTCGAATAGAACGGTGTCACCTCCTCCACGAATCAAACACTAGACACCCGGCATGCTACGGTCGATGCCACAACAATACTGCGGTCACTAGACAGCCTCGTCCACTGTCGCCCCCCAACCCTGTAAAGAAGGACTACCCCCCTTCGACACACCCGACAATGTCTAAGGAGATTCGCGATGGAGCTCTCGTACTTAGTAATTCGACGCCTTGCACGAGCGGAAAATCCCATCTAAAGAGCTGTACGACGACTGAAGGCGCTACCGGCGCGCCGATAACATACGATGCGACAAGAAAATACACGGCCACATAGGAACCTAGGAGGAGGCAACAACATTACACAGATAAAATTCAACGTACATACCCATGCCTATAGAGGGAGCTGTTTAGGTCAGAACAGGCAGACGAAGCCGAGCACTAGGGGGAGACTATAGGTATATAGTCGCACACACGGTGTCGCAGCACTATTAGAGCCTTAGCAAATGGATGAGGAATAAGAGTTTCAGGTGGATGATACATAGAAAGCACCATATTGGAGGTTAGCACAAGGTCACATTCTTCTCTAGAGATGTAAATTAGTCACTTATTGAAACAGAACACATGTGGAGACGAGGGGGCAGCTGGTCATACCTTTGGTATGGCGAAGTGGGGCATGTCGATTCGCTCGGCAAGGCGTCGGCTGCTCGCCGAACCTCTGCATCCGGGCATAGCCGCAGTAGATTGCGGCTGAAACCGTATAGGAGCAAATCAATCAATCAATCATAGCGGAACCCATAGAATCATGTGGTGAAAATTTGAAGTGCCTAAATCATGAATCCTGTTCGGTGCAGAGGGTTTTTCGACCTATAAGGAGGGACGTTACCTCAAACTAAACCACATTACTTAATCTTCAAAAAGGTGAGCTGGGCTTGCGGCGTGTTGTAGGCGTGCGATAAGTCTATGTCACGAACAGTGCGGGAATCTGCGGGTGAAATCGATAGCATGTAGYCTCTTAACCGAATTAATTAACTAGTCTACACTGCCTAAATCCAATATAAACATCGTTAATTTTAAGTGCGCCGACGTACTACTTCTATACCCTAAGCTTCGATAACTACTACGACCGCTACATATGTATTACTAGTCTAACATTAGAGAAAGAGGCCCGTTAATCCTAGAAACAGTATTATAAAGGGAGGCTAAATGCATTTAGTGCTACTACTAGAGTAATTCGCCGCAATAGATAGGCTAGCTATCGTATAAGAACCTATAGCAGTTAAAAGCTTATTACTTAGTATAGTAGTATTTAAAAGGACCGAGGTAGGCGTAGGAATAGCTATACTAGTACTATATATTCCGTACTTCGAATAATAGAAGGCTAGGATAGGCATACCCGTACTACGTACTCTATAGTTAGAAGCGGCGCGGGTGGCCTTAGAAGGTTTAAGAGTAAATAAGCGCCCTAGCTTATAAACTTCCTCTATTACGAGACCTACTACTATAATATACTAACGCCTAGATTTCCTAATAGTTCAAGTAGAGATAGCTAACCCGGTTAATCGTATAGTACGCTACCCTAGTATTATAATACTGCTTATACCGAGAGGATTAGCGTATAGACTAGTAGAGAACTACGTAACGAGAGGTAGAGTCTCTAGGACGCTAAGTAAGATTATAGAACCTACCTCCCCTACGACTAAGACTAGATAAAATGTTCTATCGTAGCGAACGGTTACGGCAAATGTGCGGTCTGCTAGTAATAAAGCATTCTACGAAGTAATACTGTTCTATATTATTACCCGGCTAATAAGAGTACGAAAGATGTTTCGTATAAACCTACTACACTCTTTAGTGCCTAGCATTAGAATCTATAAGAACTAAGGCTTATAAGTATCTAGAGAAATAGCCGCGACATTCTCTTAACTAATTTTCTWCTTTAGCCGAAATAAGGGGAAAGACTAAAGTATTAATACTACACTTTTATACTAGTTTCGAACTATAGGAAGTATAACGTAGTATAAAATAGATGTTCGCATTTAGGGAGTAGTCGACGCCCTTAGCCTAATAGATCTAGGGTCGGACCTCGGACCTCGCGATATATAGTTTCTAAATCGCAGATATAGGATACTAGACTACCTATACATACCTCCCTATAATAATTTTCGTACCTATCGACAGATTAACTAACTATAGTAATAATATCTAACTTACGAGTGTTTACCTCGTCCGACGATCGGCAGGTTCTTAGTTTTGTTCGTATAAATTTGTAAAGACTTATAAGGTGAACCCGGCGTAGACTACTAGTAAGGTTAGCCGATTAAATGTATTTAACTATAGCGTCGCGTCGCCGTAGTAAGACGCATTTATACTCGAGTACTATAATTACATATAAAGTAATCCCCGCATTATACAGAATAAGCGCTTAAAATTAGTAGGACTAGTTTAAAGTCTTATCTCGGAAATAAAAAGCCGTATTACGTTACTATCTTCTCTAAAAGCATCTGCTTACTACCTTCCTTATTTTATATCCTACGCCCCTAAAATAGCGACTATTATAAAGCTATTAACCGTCGGACCGGTCCTAGGTAAAAGACCGACCGTTATGCTATCTCTAAAAGTCCTAGCTAGTAGTAAGAATGCATCGGATACTAATACTATAGATAAGCTAAAACTTAAGGAGCTATTTAACCGCGAGTATTAGAAAGGCGAAGGTAGCGAGGTGCTAGTCGGTAAAGTCTTTTTTAAATATGCTACGGTCGAGGATAACGTTAAACCTAACGATAATACTAATAAGGAATAGGTAAACATAAGTACCGTAGCGATAGTTCGGGCGGAAGATCGAGCCGATATAGAGTAGCGGGAAAAATACGAGGCAGAAGGTAAAATAAACGTAATAGATCTTCCGGAAAGGGCTATAGAGGTAGTACTACTAGAAATTATAAAGCACTCTTATCTATTCTACTAACAATTTCGCGACGTCTAGTCCGAAGGGCTTCCTTAACCCGCCCTAGAGAAAGCTATTACGACTACGAACCAGAACATTCGGGAGATAAACAAGAGCGCCGGGCGAAACGAGAAGCATTTTATTATTCGAGGTATTAAAATTCTAGGTTATATTAATACTATTAGCAACAATTTAGAAGAGTAGGCCTCGGAAAAATCTAAGGCGAACGTAAAAGCTTATATACTCTAGATCCTACAATTTTAGCGAACTCTAGCCGAGTCCGGCTTGTTATAGCGAGATTATGTGCCTCCTAAGGTCGAAAGCCGACTAAAAGAAGTGCTTAGCGCCGGTAAACCATCTCTCGGTAATAGACTTACGGATAAGGTCGCTTATTATATAAACGAAGACTACAAGTTTCTAACTTTCTATTAGGTTAGCGTCGCCTAGGAAGCTTARAAGTCGTTCGAGAGGGTTCTAGACGAGGCGTTAAGAGGGACTTTCGATCTCGCTAGGACCACATAGTAAAAGATCGTCGATATTAACATATAGCTATCTTAGTCGAACGTAGTCTCTAGTTTCTACTCTAATAACCACCTACTTCCTATAGATTTAGTTATAACACTAATAAAAAGGGTTAAAAGGGCGGACCTAWGGCAACGTTAACAGCTAGTAAATAGTTTAAAGATTCGGATTAGTAAAGTGCTCTAGGAAGATAGGTACTAGATTATAGCGATAACTCTCGCTACGCGAAAGCAACTCGAGGCCTATAAGCTTCCTAAATTGTTAATAGCGCAAATAGTATAGCGACGGATTAAGTATCGGCCTATTACCGATATAAGCGATAGCGTAGTCTCGGGTTATAACACGGTTGCGACTATTATATCCCCTACTACACCTACTACTACCGCGGATTATACGTTAGTTAATACTATCGGCGGATATTTAAGAACTACGTCCGCTCTAAGCTCGCCGGAATCTACGACTATCGTATCTAGCGCGGCGCCGTTCTAAGGATTCGGTCCTAGGGTAGCTTAGGGAGATAACACCTACTATAAGGATTTATCCACCCCTTTTAAGAAGTCTAGACTAGCGCCTACTCGACCTCCTACTACCGAAAAGCTAATACTTCCTACTAATTCGTCTTTTCCCTCTCGCGCTATGCCTCCCTATATAAACATGTTATCTATAACCGAAGACCCTTACCTATCTAGCGTTACGGGCCTATATCGGCCTAAAGATAGTGTTACTAAGCTAGGCAAAGTTGTCGCGGCGTAGAGAGTTAGCGGGTTCGGAGTCAGAGTACTTATTAATATTAGTACCTATAATATTCCGGTTTATAAGTTATTCCCTAGCGTGGAGTTTAGGCGTAGTATAGCTTTAGATCTACCTAATTAATTCCCGGTTATAGTCTCTACTAACATTCGTAATAGAAAATCGGAGTACGTTAACCGTATGCTTATAATTTATTAGGTA